CCTGTTACCCAGACTGGAGTGCAGTGGCTGCTCCCGGCCACCACAGCCTCGACCTGCTGGGCTCCGGCGATCCTTCCGCCTCAGCCTTCCAAGTAGCTGGAACTACAGGCGCGCGCTACCACGCCCGGCTAATTTTTTAATTTATTGTAGAGATGAGGTCTCACCAAGTTGCCCAGGTGGGTCTCGAACCCGTGGGCTCAGGCAATCCACTCACCTCAGCCTCCCAAGGCGTGGGGATTACAGGCTGAGCCACCGAGCCCGGCATCTTTTTTTTTTTTTGATTTGGGAGTCTTACTCTGTCACCCAGGCTGGAGTACAGTGGCACGCTCACAGCCACTGCTGCCTCGACCTGCTGGGCTCAGGCAATCCTTCTGCCTCAGCTTTCCAAGTAGCTGGAACTATAGGTGCTTGCCACCATGTCCACCTAATTTTTTTTTTTATTTATTGTAGAGACAAGGTCTCGCCAAGTTGTCCAGGCTGGTCTCAAACCCCTGGACTCAGGCAATCCTTTCCCCTAGGCCTCCCAAAGTGGTGGGATTACAGGCTTGAGCTACTGCGCCCTGCCAATCTCTTCTTAAGATTCTTATTAATCATATCTACTACATCTTTTGTTAATCACAAAGCCCCATTTTCCATAAAGATAACATTATTTGGGGGCCATTATTTAGCCTGCCACAATTGTGAAAATCTTTTGACCTTGTGGACCCCCGGAAATGGTCTTGAGGACTCTCAGAAGTTCCCAGATAATCCTTTGGGAGCAGCTGTAGTAGAAAGAGCCACGATTGGCATCTGTGGCGTATACACAGTCTAAACTTATGCTGAGAAGTGGCACTCAATTGAGTGACTGAAACATGGCTCCCATCTCCTACCCCCATCACCTTGGTGTCTACACTCTAGTTGATCTTGAGTGTAATTGGCTTGTACCTTCTGTTTCTGTCCTTCCTTGTCCTGGTACTAGTCAGAGTTATGTCAGAGATGAGCCTAGAGGTCCTTATTTAAGGCAAAACATTAATGCAAGTACTTGCAGGAGAAGGTGATTGAGGTGGGCAGGATGGGGCAAGGGAAGATGCCAAGCAGGGATGGTGTCTAAACTGGAGCCAGATCCACCTTGATCCCATGGAGAACACTGGGATAAATTGTACTACAGAACTGGTTTCACTTTGAAGCAAGGGGAGCTAACCTTTTGATACTTATGCCAGTTAGTTATTGATTGTAGGCTGTTAGGCCCCCCGGGGGCATCCTAGGGAGTGGGGCTGAATTAATCTGCCTGGGCGGCTGTAACAAAATACCATAGACAGGGTGGCTTAAACAACAGGAATTTACTTCTCAAAGTTCTAAAGATTGGGAAGTTAAAGATGAAGCCTCTCTTTCTGGCCTGTCGAAGGTTGCCTTCTCAGTGTGTTCTTACCTGGCAGAGAAAGCGAGAGAGAAAGAGAGAGTGTTAAGAGTGAGTGTAAACTATCCAGTGTCTCTTCATATAAGGGTACTAATCCCATCATGAGGGCTCCATCCTCGTGACCTCATCTAAACATAATTATTTCCCAAAGGCTCCATTGGGGGCTAAGGCTTCAACATATGAATTTGGGCATGGGGGCACAATTCAGAGCATATCATAGGGGTAAATCCTTGAGGAGAGGGAAGCTTTCATTAGGATGAGGATAAATCTCTGGAGAACCGGGTGCTAAGAACATCCAGTTGCAACTAACAGTCACTGCAGCTGGGGATGGCTGCACTGGCCAGGGAGTCGGGACAGGCACCTTGGTATCTTGTACAGTGGGGCCATGGCTCTCTTGCTAATCACCTACACCTTGTGCCTCTGGGGCTCATCCCTTCACCTAGAGGGAATGATTGGCTGTGAAAAAGGCCGGACACACAAAATATTGAGGGTGGGGGTGATTTTTACCTTGTCTTATTTTTGTGCTTCTCTGAATCTACCTAACTTTTCTACAGTGACTTGTATTATTTTCATAATTAAAATATTACATAAAAAAAGAAGTCATAAGCCTGACTTTCTTCTCTCATGTGTCTTACATTCACTGGTGCCTGGGCTTCTCTTGACATATTATGGTTCATTTTGCATTTTCCTTCTTCTGATCTGGTTTCAGCACTAACTTACAGCTGTATTACCTCTAGACCCAGGCAAGAGGAGCCCCTGTCCTGCCATGCATGAGAGACCCCCCATTGGCTATCCTCCAGCTGTGCTCCTTCTCACAGGCAAGGAGTCTGTGGGGCCAGGGCCTTACTCACCCAGAGCCCTTGTCTCCTCTTTGGTCCACATGTGAGTACCAGGACCCTGGGATTCTCTGTCCACAGACCCTGTTCCTAGGGCCTGCAGAGGTCTCTTATCAGCAGCCTATTCTCAGGACTGGTATTGGAGATGGTGTGATCACGTGTTCTGAAAGCCTCTTCCTGTGATACGCTCTGAATTCATTCACCATGAACACGCGTGTAGAGTGACTCATACCATGTCTCAACTTTAAAGGCTCAGTGGGAACGCCCATGCTTTCCATCTTTAGGACCAGTCATCATTTTCACAACATCTTCTCCCATGGTGTCTAAAAAACAAAAAGGTCTGGGGACATGAGTGGGAGATGGAACCAAGGCATTGAGAACTTTTGTCATTAAAAGGTGGGAGCAGGCTGTGTGCAGCGGCTCAAGCTTGTAATCCCAGTACTTTGGGAGGCCTGGGTGAGGAGATTGCCTGAGCCCATAGGTTTGAGAATAGCCTGGGCGAGGAGATTGCCTGAGCCCATATGTTTGAGAATAGCCTGGGCAATTTGGTGAGACCTCATCTTCACAATAAATCAAAAAATTAGCCGGGCGTGGTAGTTCATGCCTGTAGTTCTGGCTACTTGGAAGGCTGAGGCAGAAGGATTGCCTGAGCCCAGCAGGTTGACGCTGGGTGACTGTGAGCGTGCCACTATACTCCAGCCTGGGTGATGGAGTGAGACATCAACTCAAAAAAAGGTGGGAGCAAAGGATTTGGGAGTGAGGGAGGACAGATTTGTAAATTGTAAATACTCCAGGTTTTCTAGGGGACTGTGAAATAAATCTGATAGGCATAAATGAGACATTTCCTGCTAAACCTCCTTTCTGTGGCTGCAACCAGCACCAAAATGGGGACCTTCAAAGATTGTTTTCTGTATTTGTGGAACCATTGCTTTATAGACCACCGGTTTGTTCTTTCTCACAGGATTCCCCCCAGGGACTTGGCTGTGCTGCTTTGCAATAAGTCCAATGCATTTTACAACCTTGGGAAATGGAATGAGGCATTTGTTGCTGCCAAGGAATGTCTCCGTTGGGATCCAACCTACTTGAAGGTATGGGATGGGAGGGTGAAGATATCAGGGTGGGTGAAGGCATGGGCCTGCTTCTCCTCAACCTACCTCTTTCCCTACCTTCTATTTAAAATGGAAATGCGGGGAGTGCTTTTAGTTCAGTTATCTTTGCACTTCAGGCAGGTACCCATGGGGTATATGAGCATTGTCTGGAGAAGAATAAAAACAGTGATGGCCAAGAGTTGAAATGCTCTTGTGGGAACAGCAGAGCTTGGCCTCCAGGTGGATGGAGTGAAGGAGTGCAGTGGAAATCACAGAGGCTCATTTTGTTCCGATGTAGTTACACTAAAACTTACATCTGTTGGTGTTCTTCGCTGTTTGAAAGTTTGTGTTCGCAAAGCTTTATTCCACATGCAAGCTGGGTGGACTACACAACACTGATTCTTCAGAAAGCATTTATCATAGTAGAAACCAGCCCTTTGGAGGGATCAGTGAAGTTTGAAAAGCCAATAAGACCCTTAAGGTTGCAAACAAAGGTCAATATAGATCATTTGATTGTTTTTTTCAGCTAAGATGCCTGAGTGCCACTCTTCAAGATGCCTTCACTGTTCTTGGTGCCTCAAGGCAGACAAAAGGAGTGGAATACATCATCCCAGCCTTGGGGAGAAGAATAACATTAAAATCAGAGCCCTTAAGTTTAGTAGCAATTCTGGGGCTGCCTGAATCAGCATACAATTAAGTGTCAAATTAGTAGCATAGAAAATTTATAGGTTTCCCCCTATAAATAAAGTAGGAAAGCACAGGTCTTTTTCATATTCTGCCATACTAGTTTCAACAGCTTAGATGAGTTACTCTTCTCTAAGCTTTAATTTCCTGAACTGTATAGTGAGGTAATACCTGTGCCATAGAGTTGCTTTGAGTATTAAGGATACATTAAGCAAAGTTGTTGGTACTCCTTAGTTATTAATAGGAGATTTTATTATATCCGCAGTGGTCTACATTTTGTGTATGACTGCTAGAAACAGAACACAATGGAAAAGGGCATGGGGGAGTTTGACCTTATAGATTATTCTGAGAAAGGGATGTGGCTATTTTACATTATAAGAAGGCATTGATTTTTAAACCTCTTTTTTCTTTTCTTTTTTTTTTCTTTTGAGTCAGAGTCTGACTCTGTCACCCAGGCTGGAGTGCAGTGGCATGCTCACCGTCACCGCAGCCCCGACCTGCTGGGTTCAGACGATCCTTCCACCTCAGCCTTCCAAGTAGCTGGAACTTCAGGTGCGTGCTACCACGCCCGGCTAATTTTTTGATTTATTGTAGAGATGAGGTCTCACCAAGTTGCCCAGGCTGCTCTCGAATTGTGGTCAGGCAATCTTCTCTCTTCAGGCTCCCAAAGTGCTGGGAATACAGACTTGAAATACGGCACCTGGCCTTTAAGCCTCTGCTTTTGGAGGAAGGATACTTCAGAAGTATTGACTAGTTTTGAAAATGGAGGTGAATGGATTGCCTGAGCCCGCGGGTTCGAGACCCGCCTGGGCAACTTGGTGAGACCTCATCTCTACAATAAATAAAAAATTAGCCGGGCGTGGTAGTGTGCGCCTGTAGTTCCAGCTACTTGGAAGGCTGAGGCGGAAGGATCCCCGGAGCCCAGCAGGTCGAGGCTGAGGTGGCCGGGAGCGGCCACTGCACTCCAGTCTGGGCGACAGAGTGAGACTTCAACTCAAAAAAAAAAAAAGAAAAAGAAAATGGGAGTGCATTCCTGGAATTTCTTCCCTAAGGCATTTTAGGATATTCTCTTTCTCTAACTGGGATAGGGTGGGGAGTGGTTGGGTTCTGCCCATATCCCTGAGATGGAGGCTGTGGTTGGGGCTTAAGGGCTTAAAGGGTCCTGGATAATGCTCCAGGGTTCTTCCTGGAGTGACCAAACCTGCAGCAGTTGCTGACCGCACAGCAACCAGGGCCACTCCCCTTCTTTTGTTGCTCATTGTTACCCTTCTATCCCTGCTCTCTTCCTCACTGCCAGTGTCCTTTGTAGGGGAGGAAAAAAAAGTCTTCCCTCTACACTGTTTTGGTTCAGTAGCTGAGACTCTGCAAATTAGACTGAGAGACAGATCAATAGGAGAAAAGCATACCCATTTTCTTTGATGTTAACTTTTTTTTTGAAACAAGGGTCTCACTCAGTCAATGATATAGTCATAGTGTTACCTATGGCAAGTTCAGCTGTTTATCACTTGTAGGCTGAAATAAATAAACGCTGAGATGTAGCAAAAGGAAGTTGGTTTTATTCCAAAAGCTTGTTTTGATGGTTAGTTTACCTGGAAAGCCAGCTGATACAGATTAACCACCTTGAGGTGATTTCTGAACAAAGGAGAATTCTGCCATGGGGTCTCCATGCTCAGTTGTTTCAAGATAAGCTTCCTGAATTCCTTAAGCAAGCATATAATTAGATGAATGGGTATGTGCTTAATAACAGGATTATTGTGTAAGGGACACTGAGAGGGAAAGAAAGGAAAAAAACACTTTAAATTGTTGCTGTGAGCTACATTTTAAGATTAAGAGAGAAAAAAACCTTAAAGTCCTATCTCAAAAGCTGAGTTTGAAATTCTTGGTTAGCTCACTGCAACCTCAAACTCCTGGATCCTAAAAAATTGGATAGGGGACAGGTGTGGTGGCTCATGCATGTAATCCTGATGGTTTGGGAGGTTGAGGTGGGAGGAGAGCTTGAGGCCAGGAGTTCAAGACTGGCTTGGGCAACATAGTGAGACTCTGTCTCTACAAAAATAAAAATAAAAAATTAGCTAGGCATGGTGACATGGCGCTTCTGGTCCTAGTTACATGGGAGGCTGAGATGGAGGGAATCACTTGAGTCCAAGAGTTCCAGCCTGCAGTGAGCTATGATAGCACAACTGCACTCCTGCTTGGGTGACAGAGTGAGATCCTCTTATTTTATTTAATTTATTTTTGAGTTGGGTCTCACTATGTCGCCCAGACTGGAGTGCAGTGGCACACTCCCAGCCACCACAGCCTCGACCTGCTGGGGTCTGGTGATCATTCCGCCTCAGCCTTCCAAGTAGCTGGAACTACAGGCGCAAGCTACCACACCCGGAAAATTTTTTATTTATTGTAGAGACGAGGTTTCCTAAGTTGCCCAGGTGGGTCTCGAACCCATAGGCTCAGGCAGTCTGCTTGCCTCAGCCTCCCAAGTGCTGGGATTACAGGCTGAGCCACTGAGCCCGGCCAGATTCTATCTCTTAAAAAAAATGTGGATAGGCCTGGAAGCTTGAATATACTTTTTAACCAAGAGTGATAAATTGTGGAGACATGACAAAAGAAAAGGGTGGGCTGTCTTAGCAAGGTTTGTGCAGGCCCATCTTGGTGCTGACTTTCTATCTTCTTCATGGCCATAAAACTTAAGTGGGAGAGAAAGTTTGTGGCAGCCCTAATTTTTCTGGAGTTTCTGCTTTTAATCAGTCAAGTGAATCTTTGGGAAGGCTTCTTTGTGCATCTGTTGAATCTCAGATGCCTTCAGCTCAAAATAATCTGTATACCATTGTGGCATATTTTGGGGTGGCATATTCTGATCCCCTTTACTTTCCTCCAAAAACCAACCCTTAAATCTGAGGAAGGCAAAGAAATGGGAAATTCTTTACCAGCTTGCTTGGTTTCCTGGTTGGGGGAAGAAAATCAACACAAACACATTTTTTTCTTTCCCTTTTTAATTATCTGAAGTGAAAGTTAAAACAAATCAATAAATAATCAGGGATTTGGTGTCACATGGTATTTTTAAGTGCTTGCTTGCTTTTTTATAAACACAAAGTGAACACCTGTTATCTTTGACAGAAAATTATTTTGGTAGATCCCTGCTTTAGATGATCAAAGTGGGAAGGAAATATCATTTCATTCCTGTTTGAGAGTCCTACAGTTTATAAAGGCAAAACTAGGCCATTTTTCTCCATCAATCATTGTAATTTTCCTCTCCATGCAGAAGTCAATTTTTGGGGGCCTTTTCGCTTATAATATGGAAGGAGCTCAGTAAATCTGCCTGCGTGTCATTACAGTTTTTTCCCTTACATACCCAGTAGAAATTGTGTTTACTTTGATTGAAAGGAGCAGGAAACACCTTCTGTGTTTACATGACAATCTCATTCTTTTCCTGAACACTGGTCGTAGGAATTTTTCATTCCTATGTCCTGGCCCAGGCTGTGATTTGAGATATGAATAAATAAATAAACCACATATACAATTGGAAGCAGGCCCGCTTCTTTTCTCTCTGTGTCATGTTAGTTGCTGTGTAAGCCATGGATTTGAAAGTGATTATTTTCTTGGCAGTTAAAAAATGACAGGAAAAATGTGGCATAGAATATAATGTGGAAACTGTGTCTAGTGCTTGTTAGAAATCTGTATTTACATAGAAGTGAGACTTTCAGAGTTGGAATTCTCCTTGTTGCCAGTATTGCCTTTCCTTTCAGCAGCAGGTTGGAAGAGATGTGGTGCATTTCAGTTTTGCTTTTTATCTTGTTCCAGGGATACTACCGAGCTGGTTATTCCTTGCTGCGACTGCTCCAGCCTTACGAAGCTGCTCGCATGTTTTTTGAGGGTCTGCAGCTTCTTCAGCGTGGCCAAGAACAGGCACAGGTTGCTGATTTTCTTGTTGGAATCTTCACTACTATGAGTAGTAAGTTGGAATTGGGGAAACCATTTTTTTTTAAAGTCCTTGTTACTTTATTTGAATGGCTCCTGGGGTCTCAGGCTTCTGGGGAGACAATTTCAGAATGTTTCTTTGTGACTGATATATGTTGTTTGAGTGAAACTGGTTTGCACATTACAAAGCATTTTTGAAGCTTTTGTAGCTAGCTCATGTCCTTGTAAAAGCAACTAAATCCCTTTGCACAAATGTCTTAAAGCTTGGGAGTTTGGCTTCAGACTTCTTAAGTGTTCCATGTTGCTATTCATAGGGATTTCCCTGTTTATGTTACTTGTCTTATGTGATTTTAGCTCTTTCTTGTGATATTCTTTTCTTTCTTTTTTTTTTTTGAGTTCATGTCTCACTCTGTCACCCAGGTTGGAGTGTAGTGACATACTCATGGCCACCACAGCCTGGACCTGCTGGGCTCTGGCGATCCTTCCGCCTCAGCCTTCCAAGATCTTGTTATTTTTACATGTGTTTCTCCAGTCTGTTGAGAAAATATGCTTGTTTGCTATGAAAATGGCCTGGAAGGGTCTGTGGTGGATCCTGTGACAGCTGATCGGGTGCTCAGTGTCAGGGCTGTGAAGCTCACTGTCTGGCACTGCAGAATCAGCAGAGGATCTGTGCGCTCAGTTCAGGAGGGAGGGGGAGCTTTTGCATCACTGTACTACTACTCTACTCGTCCAGCTTGTAAGATGGCTTTGTCAGTGGCCCAGATTAGACAAAACCAGAAACCCGTAAAACACAATGTAATATACTCCTTGCCAGTGATGGTACAGTTAAAACTCTTGCCAATCAATAGCCAGGATGTTGTTTTCAAATATTACCTTTGAAAGTTGCAGTAATTTAAGAGGTGCTGTTAATTTATGTTCTGTCATTAAGAAACAACATCGATTGCAAGACATATCCTGGTTTCAGAGATGCTAGAATGTGAAAAATGGCACATTAGAATTGCTGAAAAATGGTCTTTGGCTTCCAGATATGGGGAAATCGCTGCTGACAACTGATTACCTTTACTGATTCAACTGTTCCCACTGCTGTTGTAGGAAAGCAACTTCTGTGGTCTGTGGATGGAATCCCACAGATTTTGGCAGGTTTGGTGCAGGGAGGGGTTTAGAGCATTAGCAGGCAGGGGAAGGGGTTTGAGGCAGGCACAACCATGTCCCCTAGAGAAGGAAGTAGATGGTCTTTAGATAGGTGCTGATGGGTTACAGCTCTCCAGTCAGCCTTTGCCGACAGTGGCCAAAATTGGCTGCAATTCCCTCCCATCTTAAGGGCTTGGCCCGTTCCCTGCACTTCCTTACTATCTTCTCTGCTCTTTGAAAAGTTACTGATCTGCCTTAATCCAGGCCATAGTCATGGGAATTCCAGACATCAGCTTATTGGTGACTGTCTTGTAAGATAACCTGGGTGATTTCCATTCTGCCCCCACACCGAAAGGGAACAGTTAACAGGACTTCTTAGGGAAATGCATGTAGTGCTTTTCTACCCAAGTACTCTTTTCTGGAGGGTGAATGTATGCCCATGGCCCAATTTCTAAATTTTGAAAAGTGTATTTATGGAAATTTTGTTTCCTTTCATGCAGTATATGCTTGTTTTGATATTTACTTATTTTTTGAAATTAATAACCATGGAAGAGGTGCCAAGTTATTCTGACACTTGATCTGTCCCCTTGGATATTCTCATCCTTGAGTTTGAGAAATGTGGTTTGGAGGATCACAAGTTGCAACAGGTTGATGGGCCACTAGGTTAGAAGAAAGTGTATTGACCGAAAGAGTTAACAAGATCTGGATTCCAGTCTTGGTTTTTTGTCATGAACTAATTGCATGATGTGCTATGATGTCTTCATTTGTCATTGTTTCTTTTCTTTTCTTTTTTTTTTTTTTCCCGAGTTGGAGTCTCACTCTGTCGCCCAGAGTCTCACTCTGTCACGCTTATCACCACCCCAGCGTCGACCTGCTGGACTCTAGCCTTTCAAGCAGCTGGAACTACAGGCATGCACTACCACGCCCGGCTGATTTTTTGATTTATTGTAGAGATGAGGTCTCGCCAAGTTGCCCAGGCAGGTCTCGAACCCGAGGGCTCAGGCAGTCCACTCACCTTGGCCTCCCAAAGCGCGGGATTACAGGCTGAGCCACCTAGCCTGGCCTTCTTTTTTTTTTTTTTTTTTTTTTTTTTTTAATTTGGAGTCTCACTCCATCGCCCAGGCTGGAGTGCAGTGGCACGCTTATCACCACCCCAGTTAGGCTGGGCTCTAGCCTTCCAAGTAGCTGGAACCACAGGCATGATCCCACATCCAGCTAATTTTATGATTTATTGTAGAAACAAAGTCTCGCCAAGTTGCCTGGGCTGGTCTTGAATCTGCGGGCTCAGACAGTCCACTCACCTCCGCCTCCCAAAGTGCTGGGATTACAGGCTGAGCCACAGAACCTGGCCTGTCATAGTTTCTAATCTACTGGGTAACTATAATTGTCACAGTTTTCTTTAAGGAAGTGGCTTTTGTAACTTCTCTTAAGCTTCCATTTCCTCCTCTGTAAATGGAGATAATAGGCTCTGCCTTAGTAGTTTGTTCCAGGGATACAATAAAAGTATGTGTCCCTGGGCTTGGCAAATAGAAAAAGTGAAGTGGATGTCAGCTCCCATTATGCTGCCTAACTCGGGATTGATTTTATGGGTGAACTGAAAACAATTGCCACTTCAGTCAGTCATACTTTTTTGAAAATGTCTTTCTTTCTGATATTTTTTTTTTTTTGAGTTGGAGTCTCACTCTGTCACCCAGACTGGAGTGCAGTGGCTGCTCCCGGCCACCGCAGCCTCGCCTGCTGTGCTCCGGCAATCCTTCCGCCTCAGCCTTCCGAGTAGCTGGAATTACAGGCGCGCACTACCACGACCGGCTAATTTTTTGATTTATTGTAGAGATGAGGTCTCGCCAAGTTGCCCAGGCGGGTCTCGAACCCGCGGGCTCAGGCAATCCACTTACCTCAGCCTCCCAAAGGTGCGGGATTACAGGCTGAGCCACCGAGCCCGGCTCTTTCTGATATTTTTAATTTGCCATTTGTCCTAATTGTGTGTGGTCTTAATTGGATAATCTTTTCCCAAATGTTGTAGACTTTCCCCACATTAAAATTTCTAAACTTTGGAACTTTCTTTCAGGTGACTCTATTGTTTTGCAAAGTTTCTTGCCTTGCTTTGATCGTATTTTCACAACTGGATTCTCATCAGAAGTGTGGCAATCTGTAATAGAAAAGTTGGCAAAGAAAGGATTATGGCATGTAAGTGAAAGGCGGTGGCTTTCTTATGTGGAAAGTATACTCTTGGTTAAATGATTTGTCCTGTTGGCACTGAAGCATTGTAATTTATGATTTGTTTGTCTTGATGCCAGAATAACTTTTTAACTGGGACATTATTAAAGATGGAAAGTCTTTGAGATAGATTAGCAAACGAATTTCCTTTTTTTTAAAGATGAGAAAAATACTTAGATTGTGGCAACCTCACTCCTTGCTCTGTGTCTCCATTGTCATCAAAGAAATATAAAGTCCAGATGATAATGGTAATGTGGAATGGGAAAAATAAACAGTTACATGTTTATTTTCACAATCCTTTTTGTGCTACATCAGCTAGTGTAGGTTCACATGACCTGTCTGTGCTGCTCACAAGGGTTTCTGTATTTTTTTTTTTTTGAGTCGAAGTCTCACTCTGTCACCCAGGCTGGAGTGTAGTGGCATGCTCACAGCTACTGCAGCTTTGACCTGCTGGGCTTAGGTGGTCCTTCTACCTCAGCCTTCCAAGTAGCTGGTACTACAGGCACACCACCACACACAGCTACTTTTAAAAATTTGTTGTAGAGACCAAGTCTTGCCAAATTGCCCAGGCTGGTCTCGAACCCCTGGGCTCAGGCAGTCCTCTTGCCTTTGCCTCCCAAAATGCTGGGAATACAGACGTGAGCCACCATGACTGACCTCTGTATGGTTTTAAGGGACTGCTAACATTTGGATGGCAGCTAAATGAGGTTGTAGGACCTAAACTCAGGGCCAAGAATCCCTGGAATGGAGGAGTGGATGACTGTGAGGGCCTGGGCTTCAGTGTCACACAGATGTTTCCTTGAATCCTAATCCTCTACTTACTGTTTTGAGCTAATTACTTCTCCTATGAGCCTAATTTCCTGATTTGTAAGTTGCAGCATATAAACCTATTCTCTCTGGATTTTGGTGAGAATGAGAAGTAATGAACCAGAGCACCAAATAAAAATAGCAACTAATATTTGTTGAAGGCTTCTAGTGGCAGACACGGAGCTAAGGAGTTTTATAATAACTGGGATATGCTCAGTATCCCGTGAACAGTAGATATCATTGATAATAGGCTATAAGTGCTCATAAGAATGGGCTGGCCAAGGCTGGGAGTTTGGTTAGAAAGGGCCTGCTGGGTTTTCTAAAGCTGGACAGTCTAGAAAAGTCACCAAAAGCAACAGCAACCAGTTAAGGATTTTTGATCCTGGTGTGTTGAATGACTTTAGAATAGAGAATTCTTAAATTTTGGGCAAGTCATGGATTCCATTGGAAATCTAATAAGATCTGTGGATCTCTTTTTGCATTCACAGATAGTTATGCATATAGTTTAAGGGGGTTTGTGGGAAACTTTTTTTTTTTTTTGAGTTAGAGTCTTATTCGTCTCCTAGGCTGGAGTGCAGTGGCATGCTCACGGCCATCCCAGCGTTGACCCGCTAGGCTCCGGTGATCCTTCCACCTTAGCCTTCCAAGTAGCCGGAAATACTGGCACGCACTAACATGCCTGGCTAATTTTTAAAAATTTATTGTAGAGATGAGGTCTCGCCAAGTTGCCCAGGCTGTTCTCAAACCTGTGGGCTCAGGCAGTTCCCTCACCTCAGTCTCCCAAAGTGCTAGGATTACAGACTTGAGCCACTGCGCCCAGCCCATGGGAAACTTTATGTTCAGCCACGGGCTCCTTGAATCTTACCTCCATATTAACAGGTCTTGGAAGGGCAGATGTGGAGATGAGGAAAGCAGACTGGATTCTTGAGGGGAACCAGGATTCAGGAATCCAGGGCCCTGTTAAAAGACATTTGGGATCTTTTTTCTTAGGATAAGATAAGAGATCTATAAGGCTCTTTCCAGCTTTATTTTTTTGAAAGTTTTGAAATCCTGTGATTCCAAGTGCTAGTGTAGGTCTCTTGAGTTAGGAAGCTTTTGGCCTTATTAGCAGGAATATAGTTTACTGCTCTGGAAAGGACTCTGTCCTCTCTTCCCAGTGTAGGGTGGGTATGAACAGAGCTCCATGGCCTAGGGGGGAAGTGAGAGAATGGGAGACAGGATCTATTAATAGATTAGCATCACTGTCTGCCAAAGGAGGGCCCAGAAATTCAGCTCAAGTGACCGGTCTGGCATCCTGCTTGCATTAGCGCTCAGGTAATTCCCAAATCATATATACTGGAGACAAAGGCATCTTGTAAAAGCCAGGCAGCAGTTGGACTGTTAGAACGCTGAGTGTATCATCCGGGGTTGAATGTGGGCAGTGGGGCCTGTTTAGGGTGAACAGTTAAGAGTGAGCATTAAACTGAAAGAAATTACATACAAGCTGTGGACATAGGCTCACTGCCTGTGGTCCTAAGTCCATTGGCCAGAGCATACTTGAGGGAGGTCGGAACTGAGACTGGGTCTCCAGTCATGGCCATTGCAGAGCTTGGAATTCTTAAACCTGTTGGCATACCTGGATGATCTCAATAGGGGATTCTCAGGATGTGCCGTGGGGCCTAGGAAAAATTGCTTAACCACTGGGGGCTCCAGTCTTTTCAGTGACTTAAAATAGTGTCTGTGGCTTAACAGCTGGCTCTCTGAAGGAAATGAAACCCTGATTTGTAGCATTTACCAATTTCCATGGTGAAAGTACTCTTACCATGGCCAGTTTCCAGGTACTAATATGATATACAGGACTTGGAAGAAGATGTACATAATCAGCTCACTAACTGATCGGGACTCGAGTTCTAAGCTTTGGTACTTGATGGTTCTGATGGGCTCAAAATACTGGGGTTTATGAAACACTGATGTGCTAAAGACTTGATTGGGATGGGATATTTCTAAAGAATTAGAGTCTTCTGCTTGCTAAGCTTTAAGAACATTTCAGGGAACTACTTTTTAAAATTTCTACCTCATTGCCACTGTAACTGCCACTGTACTCTCAGAAATTCTGCATGACATCAACTGCCCCGTCCTCAGCAGGCTTTGAGGAAGTGCCGAGAGACCTTAGCCTCTCTGTAAGAACAGGAAGTTGGATAGGCAGAGAGACTTTGTCATGGCTCAAACTGAAAAAGTTGGCAGATAGCTTTAAAAAAGAGACAAGGTTAGAGGGAGTTTTGTTTGTTTGTTTGCTTGTTTTAAAGCTTAACATAACCTTTTTGCTTTCATAACCTTTGTGGAGAACATTATTATTCCAACTTTTTTTCTCCTCTCCCATCAGTCATTTCTACTTCTGTCTGCGAAAAAAGACCGACTACCAGAAAATATTCACGTCCCAGAGTTATCTCTGAAAGGTCTCTTTGAGGTAAGGTGGCTTCTTGAAGCATATGGTTTCAAATCAAGCCACTTCAGTCTTGTGTCTGGGACCTTCCCCTTCGGCTGCCTCACCACAAATTTGTTATTTATAATAATCTTAGATTTGGACCACAGCTAATCCAGGTTTTACTGATTTCCGAGGTTTATGGGTGAAGGCATTTGAAATATCATAATGATGTAGTGACTTCCATGATTCTTCTTGTGTGGTTTTTTCCAGAAATATGTCTTCATTGGACTTTATGAGAAGATGGAACAGGTGCCCAAGTTAGTCCAGTGGCTCATCTCCATCGGTGCATGTGTTGAGAGTATAGGACCCTACCCTCTTCATGCCCTCATGCGTCTCTGTATCCAAGCCAGTGAGTCTTCTCTCAGTTTTATGCTGCGCTTCCAGCTCTGAGCTGCCCTTCTAGCTCTGAGCTCAAGTGAAACTAGAATGTAGCCACTTGAATGGAGAATATTCAAGTCAAATAATTTGATTATTCAAATGAATAAAGCATCAGGGAAACAGCATCATTCTTATTTCTCCTGGGACCTACTAGCTACAAGAGGCCCAAACTGAAAGGATTCCATGTTCCTAGACAGATCCTGGCTGCAAGGTAGAGCCTTGGGACCCAAGGGAGGGGGCTTGGGACAGCCAGCCACTACTGGGCAGTACTCCCAGTATTGCCATGGAGTTTTCTCTGTTGACAAAGGCAGCCGTAGTCTTTTTCCCCAGGTTCATTTTCCCTCTAGCTCAGAGGGCTGACACTTGTGTTCTGGGACTGTGGATGGGGGAGTCCCAAGGGAGATATGGGCTATTGCTGGTACAGTTTGGTTATGGTTCTTTTAAAGGGCTATGTTTTCATGAAATTCTTTTTTTTTTTTTTTTTTTGAGTTGGCGTCTCACTCCATTGCCCAGATTGGAGTGCAGTGGCTGCTCCTGGCCACCGCAGCCTTGACCTGCTGGGCTCCGGCGATCCTTCTGCCTCAGCCTTCCAAGTAGCTGGAACTACAGGTGTGCACTATCACACCCGGCTAATTTTTTTGATTTATTGTAGAGATGAAGTCTTGCCAAGTTGCCCAGGCGGGTCTCAAACCCGCGGGCTCAGGCAATTCACTCACCTTGGCCTCCCAAAGCGAGGGATTACAGGCTGAGCCACCGAGCCTGGCATAAAATTCTTTTTTTCCCAAGCTTTACAATCTGGCTTTGAGATTTAAATTTTAAAATCTTTTTATTTTATTATTAACACACATCATACACTTACACTTTTGATAGAAATTTGCCTTTCTTTTTGAACACGTGTGGCAGCACTATTGTGTGCTTACTTATTTTAGCTCCAGAAAAGGTCAAGAGAACTTGTCTAGTCTGCCTCTTGTAGACTGTGTCATCTTCCTGGGAATGGGGAGGGAGCTGGCCAGGGGCTTGAGGCCTGGGACCCTCATTTTTGCTTTAACCAGATTTGTCCTGCTGTTACTTACTTGATGTAGTGGGAAATTCATGAGAGACTTTATTCTTACACAGGGATTGGTGGGTCAAGCATTTAAAAGTAAAGCCCAATTAAAAGCAATTCAATCTAATCCTCCCAGTTTCAAATTAGGAATTGGGAACACAGGAGGTGTGCCTCTGGTTATGAAAGTTCTGCTTCCCCACTGTGCCTAATAAGTTAGCTCCTGTGGTTACAGGTGGTATTGGTAAGATCAAGCCTTCACATTTATTCCTGATTTGTTTCTCAGAGGACAGTTCTGACATGGTGACAAATGGTGCCCACAGAATTGGCAGAAGTGTGTGACTTTCCTAGAACTCTAGAGATGCAAGGAAGGAGGCTGGGAAAAGAATCGGAACTATTTGTGCTATTGATAGTAATGTAGTAGGGGAGTAATCTCCTTAGAGATATGGGCTTGATTATTGACACAGAGGCTGTCAGTTCCCTGCCCAGATCCTCTTAACCACCAACATCCCCACCCTATCTGCTCAATGTCAGCTGACAACTCACAACTGTCTCCTTGGCCAGAGCATTGCTCTTTGCCAACAGACACCACTTCCCGGGGAGGTTCTGTCTTCCTGGGGTAATTCCATAGTCCATGACTGACTGACACGGGGATTCAGAAAGGTCAGCCCCGGTGCCTCAAGGCAGGTCGAGGCTATGGTGCAGTTTTTGCTTCTGCCTCCTCATTGGATCTGGTGGAACGACTCCAGCTAGGACGACATTCTTTTTAGCTGCCTTCCCTATCTGTCCTGCTTCCCTCTCTCTCTCCTGGTATTTCTAGCTAAGTCATTCACATGTATAAGAATCTTTGTCTCAGGCTTGTTGGGAAGCTGACCTAAGATTATTATGAATAACTTTCTATAACTCATCCTTTGATGTAACAAACTCCTGTGATCCTGTGACACCCCACACCTGTATATGGTGAGTGGAAATGTGTTGGATTCCTCATTTGGTTACCTTAGTGTGGTCCACATTGGCTTGCTTTGCTGATATTCTGTATGTAGAAAATAGCATCAGTAAGTCATTCTAATTCCCTTCAGGGGAAAACCATCTCTTCAAGTGGTTAATGGACCACAAGCCTGAGTGGAAAAGCCGCATCAACCAGAAAGACGAGGATGGCTGCACCGTCCTGCACGTCGTAGCCTCGCACTCAGGATACCTCACCAAGCGTGAGTAGCAACACCATGCTGGGGGGCCTGCTGCCGGCCTGATGGTTTCACAACACAGTTGGCTGCCTTGTTTTACCCGCTTCATCCTGTGGCTGTCTCAGAGGCCTAAACTGTCCCTTGAATTAAATACGATTGGGAGAGCAGGCTGTAAGCAGGAGGTGTGGCGAGAGAAGGAATTGCCTCCCTGTGCTCTTTCTTTGGGATTGAATGACCCCAGGACATGCGCTTCTGGCTGCCTTTTTTTCCGCCATCACATGGTAACTGAGTGCTGTGTTTTATGCCAAATCTGTGTTAGCTGCCAGAGACAACAGACATAGTTCTGCCTTCATGGCGCTTAGAATTTCTCACAGGAATAGCACTGGGGCCAGTCAGGCCACGTGAAAGAGTAAGGTTGGCATATGCAAGGAAAAACTGGTTCTTTTGACACAGGTGGGCCTTGTTAGCTTGTGAAGCGGGAAGACTGTCCACTCCAATAGAACTCTCTGGTATTACTCATTTGTCTTTTTTTTTAGTTGAATTCTCACTGGTTTGTCCCAGCTAGAGTGCAGTGGCATGTTCATGGCCACTGCAGCCTTGACCTGCTGGGCTTTGGTGATCCTTCTGCCTGAGCCTTCCAAGTAGCTGGAACTACAGGCACACGTCACCATGCCCGGCTAATTTTTTGATTTGTTGTAGAGATGAAGTCTTACTAAGTTGTCTATGCTTGTCTCAAACCCATGGGCTCAGGCAATCCTCTCACCTTGGCCTCCCAAAGTGCTGGCATTATAGATGTGAGCCACCACACCCAGCTTTTAACATTTTTTTTTTTTTTGAGTTGAATTCTCACTCTTTCGCCCAGGCTAGAGTGCAGTGGCATCCTCATGGCAACCGCAGCCTTGACCTGCTGGGCTCAGGTGATCCTTCTGCCTGAGCCTTCCAAGTAGCTGGAACTGTAGGCACGCGCCACTATGTCCAGCTAATTTTTTGATTTGTTATAGAGATGAGGTCTGGACAGGTTGCCCAGGCTGGTCTCGAATTCATGGGCTCAGGCAATCCTCTTACCTCAGTCTTCCAAAGTGCTGGGATTATAGGTGTGAGCCACCGCGCCCGGCCACTCATTTTTCTTAAAACTCTCAGATGCCTTAGTCTTTGTTTTCTGTTTTTGGCTGGGAAAAACATTTTTTCCTTAATGATAATGGATTCTCAGCCTCAGTGGAAATGAGGTGACAGGGAGTGTTGGGGAGCTTGTGCCTGCTGCTGCTGCAGCCTGGAGCTGATTGTGGGAACTAGGCTGGCCTGACATCTTCAGATGGCAAGATGTTGGAAATCTGGACTTTTAAAAATCTCGTGATTTTCAAATGTCAGCTCAGAATTAAACATGCCTGTGGACTAGACACAGTCTGAAAGCCTCTAGTCGGGGACCTCAAGTCTGATGGGTGCTCCCCAGTTGCAGTTTTCTGAGACTGGTTTCTCTAGTGTCATTTCTTGCTGAACTGGGACCCAGAAAGCTATTTCTAAACAGAGAAAGAGTGTCGTATGGATTTTTTTGAGCTTTATCGAAATATAATCCTATACTATGTAATTAACCTTTTTAACATATATATTTCAGTGCTTTTTAGTACATCCACAGAGTCATGCAACCAGCATCAAAAGAAATTTTAGAACTTTTTTTTTTTTTATTTTGAGTTGGAGTCTCACTCTGTCGCCCAGACTGGAGTGCAGTGGCCGCTCCCGGCCACCGCAGCCTCGACCTGCTGGACTCCGGCGATCCTTCCGCCTCAGCCTTCCGAGTAGCCGGAATTACAGGCATACGCTACCATGCCTGGCTGATTTTTTGATTTATTGTAGAGACGAGGTCTTGCTGCCCAGGCGGGTCTCGAACCCGTTGGCTCAGTCAATCTGCTCACCTCAGCCTTCCAAAGGCGCGGGATTACAGGCTGAGCCACCAAGCCTGGCTAGAACTTTTTTATCATTCTAAAAGGAAACCTCGTATCCTTTAGAAGTCATTCCACATTTTTCCTACCCCTCCAACCCTAAAAAAGCAACCACTAATCTATGTTCTGTCTCTATGAGTTTGCCTATTGTGGACATTTCATTTAAATGGACTCAAGTAGTTTTTTGTGATTGACTTCTTTCACTAGCATAATGTTGTCAAGGTTCATTCATGTTGTAGCATGAATCAGTAATGTATTCCTATTTATTTAATTTTTTATTCATTCATTCGTTTATTTTTTTGAGTTGGAGTTCTTACTCTGTTACCCAGGCTGGAGTACGGTGGCATGATTAATGCTCATTGCAGCCTTGACCTCCTTGGCTCAGGTGATCCTTCCACCTAGTTTCCCAAGTAGCTGGGCTACAGGCACGTGCCACCACACCTGGCTTATTTTTTGATTTTTTTGTAGAGTCAAAGTCTCATTATGTTGCCCAGGCTTGTCTTTAACTCTTTTTTTTTGTTTTTTTTTTGAGTTGGAGTCTCAGTCTGTCGCCCAGACTGGAGTGCAGTGGCCGCTCCCGGCTACCACAGCCTCGACCTGCTGGGCACTGGCGATCCTTCCGCCTCAGCCTTCCAAGTAGCCGGAATTACAGGCATGCGCTACTACGCCCAGCTGATTTTTTGATTTATTGTAGAGGTGAGGTCTCGCTGCCCAGGCGGGTCTCGAACCCGTGGGCTCAGACAATCCACTCACCTCAGCCTCCCAAAGGCGCGGGATTACAGGCTGAGCCACCGAGCCCGGCTGTCTTTAACACTTGAGCTCATGAGATTCTCCTCCCTTGGCTTCCCAAAGTGCTGGGATTACAAGTGTGGCCCACCATGCCTGGCCTTAATCCTTTTTTAAATTTTGCCAAATAATATTCTATTGTATGAATCCACCACATTTTATTAATTCATTAATCAATTGATGGATGTTTGAGTTGTTTCTACTTTTTGACTGTTATGAATATTCATGTACAAGTTTTTGTAGGGCATATGTTTTTGTTTTTCTCACCTAGAAGTAGATTTGATGGATTATATGGTAACACTATGTTTATAACCTTTTGAGGAGCCAGACTGTTTCCCAAAGTGGCTGCACCATTTTACATTCCCACCAATTGTGTATGAAGGTGCCAGTGTCTTTCTTTCTTTCTTTTTTTTCTTTAGAGGTGAGAAATCAGGAGTTTATTAAGAAGACAAAAAACTCTCAAGCAGGAGGGGACTTGAAAGAGGGTTACCTGCCAGTTTCTTCATATCCTGACACTTGTTATTTATTATCTGACTGTTTGATAATAGTCAGATGTGTTTTAGGACTTTCTTAAAGCAGTGATGTCCTGGAAAACAACTGGCTCTCCAAAAGAGAAGCCTTGAATTGTAGGATTTGTTAATTTTCATGATATAAATTCCCCATAGTGGTTGATTTCATGCTACCAATGTGATGTCACTGAACGCAGAGTTGGGAAGAGATGTGAAGAAGCACACCATTGTATTGTAATTTGAGCATACAGGTACATGTTAAGATAGGTGTAAATAAACCTCATCATAGAATGTAGTGAAATAATTAGGAGGTGATGAGTTTGTAATAAACTTTTTATTAATTCTAAGTTTTATCAGCTGGCTTGCAACATTTCTGGACATTAAATAATCGGCCCTTGTAAACTGTTATGAACTGGCTGCAGCATCCCACTGTGTTAAAGCTAACATTAGCCTCATAAATTGTGGTTAAAGTCTGTGTCACCAGTCGTAGTGCTCTCCTTACACATCCCCACCCTGCAAATCCTCAATAAAAAATATTTCCAGACAGGACTTTTTGATTGCAAAGAACCACATTTCCAGGTCCCTGACATTTAGGTGGCTTGAGGAGTGTTTGGGTATTTTATGTGCATGCTATGCCCTGAATGTTAACTTGACAAGCATTCCATTTCCTGAGACTTTGGCTCTCTCTGTCCAATACATGTGATGTATTGTATATGTTGTATAATGATAATTTAAAAAAATTTTGTAGTCATATAAAAAAACCCCAAATAGGCAAAATTAATTTTTTTTCAGGAACTGACAAAATGTTAGTGCTTAATAGTTAATAGTACAACTGACCAAGGTCCAGCATGTGAAGCTACCATGTTCAAGAAACTGGGGGTCAATCACTCTATAAACTAACTGTATTGTATGTGAAAAGAATGTACACTTTAGAATAGAAAACCTGTCTACACATAGTAGTTAGCTGCAAAAAGCCATCCGGTCTTCTCTTGGCTTGGAAAAATGATGTTCCAGATTTCAGTATAAATTAGTAGCAACCTTCAGCTCTCCTGTGTGGCAGGAACCTTGTTTTCACCCTCCAGTTCTTACACCCCAGCCTGTGTCATGAGGTCTGTGATGTTTTTTCTCCAGATCATTGGTGTGGCTACTCATATCATCAATTCTTCCAATGATCTGGTCAGACATGGTCTGAAATTTAACTTGCCTCTGTTATAGGAGTGTATGCATCACCAAGGTGAGATCCTGTACGTTCTTAGGGTTGGTCTTGGCCATCTCCCCGGTTTCCACCTTGGCGGTGATGTCTTAGACAGTCCGCAAAATTAATTTTAATAGTAGATTTTATTTAACCCATGTATCCAAAGTGTTCTCATTTCTCTTTGTTATTAATATGAGCACAATTGAGATATCTTCCGTATTTATTTTTTGTCTTATACTAAGTCTTTGAAATCCAGTACATATTTTACTCTTATTCAGCCCATCTCTGTATGGGCTAGCCACATTTCAAGTGCTCAATAGCCTTGTGTGGCTAGTGGCTACTTTATTGGATAGCAATATCTTAGACTGTTCTTGTAAACACAGAAACCTTTCCAACTTTCTGAGTTGGGAGGATAAGCTGTGAAGTAAAGAGATAGCCCTTTATTTTCTCATGTGGATGTCAACATAGACTGCCTCCATGGCCTCCTTTGACAGAGGCTTCACAACTCTCACAGGTTTCTTCACTTTCTTCCTTTGCTCTCTCTTCCTACTCCCCTTCCTTTTCCTCTTTTTCATTAGGGAAACTCATCTTTTTAAA